CAGTCAGGACACATGCAGGAGGCAACTGATTGATGTTTTGCTCTCACATCAATGTTTCTCTCTCTCCATTTCCCTTCCTGTCTCTCTAAAATCAATAAAAGCATGTACTCAGGTAAGGATTTTAAAAAAGTGGTAAATAAAAGGGAGAGGAATTCAAGTATATCTCTATATCTAGCTTGCTCTATCTATCTATCTATCTATCTATCTATCTATCTATCTATCATCAAGACTTCTCTCTCTCCCCTTCTACCTCCCACCCCCATGAGGGGAGAAGAGAGGGAGGGAGACACAGAGGAAGGGAGAAAATTGTGTGTTTGTGTGTGTGTGTGTGTGACTGTGTGCTTTCTACACGTACATGGATGATTTCTGTTCTAGATACAGATGTGTACACAGCTACGGTCGTGTCATATAGTGGAGAAGGAATATGGACTTGGGAATCAGATATTACTTCACATACAAGCCCCAACTAGCTGTGTGACCTTGGGCAAGTTATTTAACCTGTCTGGGTCTTAATTTTCTCTGTAGTAGAATGGAGCTAATCATAATTACCACCTATTAATATCTAAACTTAATTTATGTGAAAAATAGTATTACACACACTAGAATAGCAAGAGAAATATGTTCCATCTGTTCCTAATCACTTTACTTAGTCAGTATTTGTAGTAGAGTCACCCTGAATATAGAAGTGAATTGAGTATTGAAAGATGATATATTCTAAGCATTTGAACCTTGAATTATTTCAAAGCAATAATTATGCATCATCTGTGGCATCATTTTTGTTTGTGACCACTCAGATCAGGGGCATTTTAATCACAGCTCTTACAAAGAGTTGCTTCATCCTTTTGTGTCTGTTTTACTCATCTGCTCATTAGATGTCAGTATTTATTGCAATTATTTGACCAACTACATCATTGTTATTTTATGTGGATTACATTGTTAAATGAACTAAAAGCCCAATTTTGAAATTCTCGGGAAAAGTAGTTTTGCAGATACAGAGCCTTCAGCTTCATGGGACTGATATTACTGAGAAAGTGAATTATTCGGGTTTGGCTGTTCTAGTAGTTAGATTACAGCGTGGTTCCCTACTCAGCCTGCAAACCACACTTTTGAAAAACATTTTAATTGTGAAATATACACAATGGAAAAGTACATAAAATATATGTATTCTCTTACCAAAATACTGTAACGAGGATACTCATGCAACCATTCTCAGTTCAAGAAATAAAAGTGTCAGAACCCCAAAAGCTGCCCATATGCCACTTCCAAATCACAATTCCCTCATCCTTCTCCTGAAACCACTGTTTTGACTGTTATCTCTTCTTTTTTTAAAAATAGTTTTACCACCCTGGCCGGTTTGGCTCAGCGGTTGGAGCGTCAGCCTGCGGACCAGAGAGTCCCGGGCACATAAAAAGTTTTACCACCATGTGTGCATCCCTAAACAGTGTAATTTAATTTTGCCTATTTTTCAAAAATCTTTATATAAATGGCATTATCCAGAATGTATCCTTTTGTTCTGGCTTCTTTCCCTCAGTATTAAGATTTATTCATGTTATTGCAGGTAGGTGAAATTTGTTCCTTTTTATTAGTGTACATAAAGTGTCCCTTGTATGAATCTATCAAAATTTATTAGTTCCATTATAGATGGATATTTGGGTAGTTTCTTGTTTGGAGCTATTATGAAGAACATTGCTATGATGGGTTTTTACGTATACTGTGCATGTAAGTCATAACTCATTTTCTATTGGGTTATTTCTCTTTTTCTTACTGACTTGTAGCAATTCTATATATGTTCTAGATACAAGCTCTTTGTTAGTCTTGTGTGCTGTAAGCACCCTCTCCTACTCTGTGGCTTGTCTTTTTGCTTTCTTAATGGCATCTTTTGATGAACTTACAAATTTTTAATTTTAATAAAGTAAAAATCACCAATCTTTTCATTTATAGTTAGTGGGGTTTTTGTGTCTTGTTTAAAAAAATATTTTTACCCTTGAGGTCACAGATATTCTGTTTATCTTCTAAAAGCTTTACTGTTGTCTCTCACACTTATTTTTACAGCCCACATGGAACTGATTTTTGTGTATGGTATGAGAGGTGCTTTAACTTCATTTCCCCTGTAGATCACCAGCTATCCCAAACAGCAATTATCGAGAATGCTATTTATGTACTGAAAATCCCCCTTCTGTTTTGAAATGCCACATTTGTCATCGATCAAGAATCTGTGTCTGGGGCTTGCTGGGCTTTCTGTCCTGTTCCACAGATCTGTGTCTTTGTGCTAGTCCTATACTGCTTTAATCACTGCACCTTTATAAGTTCTGATGTCTGGTAGAGCAAGTCCTCCCACATTTTTGCTCTTCAGAAGTGTCTCAGCTCTTCTTGGCCCTTTGCCTTGCCATATAAAGTATAGACATCAACTTGTCAAGTTCCACAAAAACAAATGAATGAGTGAAATAACCTGTTGGGATTTGTATTGGTGCTTATTTAGGTCTTCTTTACTTTCTTTCAATGACGTGTTTATAGTATATCCCAGTAGAAGTCTCAGATATACAACTCTTGTTAGATTTATTCTCGCGTACTTAATTTAAAAAAAATGTAATCCTCTATTTTTCCATTTATCTGAAGATAGAGTGGGAGAGAGAGACAGACAGACAGACAGACAGACAGACAGACATCGATGTGAGAGAGACACATCAACTGGTCGCCTCCCACTAGACCCAGACCAGGGTGGGGACTGAACCACAACCGAGGTATGTGCCCTTGACCAGAATCAAACCCCGCAACTCTGGTCCGCCAGTCGATGCTCTAACCACTGAGCAACGGGCCAGGGCATGGGTACTTGATTTTTAAAAGCAATTGTAAATGTCATCTTTAAAAAATTTAGTTTCTCATGTTTGTTGCTGATATACAGAACACAGTTGTGTATGTGTATCTATCTAGCATCCTTGCTAATTCTTTCAGTTCTAATAATCATTATGTAAATTGTTTTAGATTTTTCTATGTTCACCATTTGTAATGACATATTTAGTTTCTTTCTTCCCAATCCTCAAACTTTATTTATTTTTCTTCTTGCCTTAGTTAACTGCTTAAGACCTCCATCATAAAGAGCTTTTCTTTTTGAAAATTAATTTTACTTTTTGGCCAGTTTAATAACTAAAATGTATTATTTCTGTTAAGTTAGCTACTTTTAAAACAGGCTTCTGACGTTCAAAGAGTAGAAAAATGTGAATGTATGAAAAGTCTCCTACTTCAGACCTTCATTATCTTGTTAAAAAATATCAAATCTCTGCCCCTTCCTTTGCCCTGCTGAATAACAAACTTTATCTCATGGGGCTTTGCCATGTCTGTATTTTTAAAGCTCCACAAGTGACAGTGACAATTAGGTTTGGAGACTAATTCAGAAGATTTGCCTTTGCACAGATTAGTAGGGTTGTGTAATACAGTGATTCTCAACCCTGGTTGCAAATTAAAACCACCCAAGGAGCTTTAAAAATACCTGATGCCTGGCCCTTACCCTGAACCAAGGGATATGAATCACTACAGGTGTGGTGCCAGGCATCTGTAATTTTTTAAGGTCCCCCAGGTAATTCAGAGTGTGGGGAGGAGCAGGAGGGGGAGTTTACAAAGGGGCATGAGGAGATATTTGGGGGTTATGGGTATGTTCGCAGTCTTGATTGTGAAAATTATTTCATAGGTATGTTCAGATGTTACACTTATCAATTGTACACTTTAAGTATGTGCAGTTTATTGCATATCAATTATACATCAATAAAGCTGTTCAAAGAAAGAGCTCCCCAGGTGATTGTCATGCACAGCAATGATGGAGAATCATTCTAACAGAAAAGCACACCACTGAAGTGGAAATTGGATAGCTTTTCATCTGCCAATAGTTGGCTTGTACACATAGATAAGCTACTGAATCCCCTCTAGATCTCAGTTTTACTCTAGTTGGTGGGTTTAAATTTTCCTCAAGTGCTTTTCAGTTCTGATACTACTTTGATTCTTCTGCTCAGTCTGGCAGTGCTGGCCCGGCTGCTGATGCTCTTCCCAGCCCCAGCCACAGGTGAGGGCTGTGCAGCTGGCTGCCTCTTCCTCTCAACTAACACTCTTGTGAGGTCAAAATAATCTGGTCAGGGTCTTTCCCTACTTTCTATCCTCTTGGTGAGTGGGAGCACCACTTGTGAACCATCATTTTCAAACCATTGGTTCTGCTGCAGGTGAGCCTTTCTTTAAGAAAAGTAAATCCATGAATCTCTCAATGTACAGAATAGCTTTTAAAAAGACCCCCAGATTGCTTTGAAAATATCCAGCTCCTGCAAAACAATTAAAATAGCATTTAATTGAAGTGTATGTGTGCTTACATATATATGTATAATGTACATATGTATGTAAGTATGTATGTATTAGTAAGCACATTAACAATATTACTCTACCAGCCCTAGGAAATGATTCATCCATGTAAAAAGGCAGTTATATGTTTGTTACAGGTGTGATTTCAAAATCCTTCAGGGAATAAACATTGCTTAGGTAAAAAATAGAATCAAGGTTAGCAAAGAAGCCAAGTCTTTTTTCCATTGTAATGTGATATAAAGTACTTAAATGGGTAAACATATGAATGTGTGTGTGTGTTTATCTATGTGTTTACATATACTCAGGTGAATAGGTTGGCTAAATATTTTAGAATTATAATCTATTCAGACACTCTGGGTATTTATCTCTAGACAGTGAAAAAATCTGGATGCCCCAGAAGAGATTGACTAGAACTAATGTTACAAAATGATCTAGCTATGTCCTAAACTTTATTAAATGCATTATTTTACAATTCAGTTCAGAAATAAAAGCAAATGCCTTTCTGAAGTGCAACAACAGCACGAATTAAAAAAAAAAAAAAACTCTCCCCAACACACAGAATTTTTCAGATAATACTATAAAAGTTTAACATTCAGTAGCTCTGTCTTTAATTTTTGTTCTTATTGCAATTTTCTTCCATTTTGATTCCTAAATTTCAGATTATTCTATGAGCCAGTCACAACACCTTGTGGACACACATTTTGCTTAAAATGCCTTGAAAGGTGCCTAGATCACAATGCGAAGTGTCCCCTGTGCAAAGATGGTCTTTCACAGGTAAAACATTATTTCTTTTTTGGTTGGGTTAGCTTATTTGGAATTGGGTACTTAAGAGAATGTCCTATTGAATCCCAAACCACTGCACTGTGCTAGGGCAAAATACCCCCTCAGACCATCCATCTCTTTCTCCTGGCTTTTTTTCTTATTGTTGAAAGTATTACAGATGTCTCCCTTTTTTCCACATTGACTTCCTCCTTCCTGCTTCCATCTGCCTCCTGCCTTCCCCAGCCTAGTGTCCATGTTGATTGGTTGTGCATATACGCATATATGTTCTTTGGTTTATCTCTTCCCACTCCTCCCATCCCCCTTCCCTCTGAAGTTTGTCAGTCTGTTCCCTACATCCATGATTCTGGGTCTCTTTTGGTCGACAGCTTGTTTTGTTCATTATGTTCCATAGCTACCTCTCCTCTCTCCACAGAGTCCTTCAGAAAAACGAGGCAACATCTAGCTTTTTATGAACTGTTGGTAATGAAATAAATTTGTGTTGGAAACAAAAGTATTAAATTGATGATAAACATGGATCCTGGTTCTAATCCCATCATGGCACCTGATTCGCTGTGATGTTGGGTGAATCTTGTGTCCTCTTTGGGCTTGGATTAGACAAGCTCTGATGTCCCCTTATCATCAATGTTTATTTTGTGGTTTGAAGAGATCACTCCCAAGGCTGCAGACAGACCTTCAATGTGGTCCTTGTTCCATCCCTCAGAAGCCACTCTATTTATTAGCAGATCCATGGCTACTTGAAAAGCTCTGGGGCTTCCAGGCCCTCTGAAATGAATCACACAAATTGCCACCTTGGTTTTTCAAGTGGATCTGATGGAATTTTCTTAGCACAAAACACCCAGGAGTCCATCTTGTTTTCCCTCCCTCAGGGACTTATATGCCACATTTTACAATCATCCCTGAGGACAGGTTGGAAACACAAGATGATCTTGAGGTGCATGTAGGTCCAGAGAAGTCACATGTTGAGCTTTCCCAGCACCTTGAGGAGTGAAATAATCTTGGATAACCCTGAGGGTGTGTATTGGGTTGGGGAAAGGGTCAGTGTCTAGGTAAAGGGGTGGGATTTGCTGGCCTGATTATAGATGAGAAGCCCATGGTCCTTATACTTAAAATAATACATTTGTGTTATGGTAACATTGCAACATTCAGATAAACAGAAAAAACAAAAGTCTACCATTATGCTCATCACCTGGAGAAAAACACCATGAACAGTTTAGTATGTGCCTTTCCTGGGTTTTTGTTTGAGCGTCAGCAGAGGAGTCATTTTCTTGGATTGGCTACCTCCTGAGTCACTGATTTTCCCCAAGACTGGGAGTGGGTAAAGCAGTTGGTTCTTCTGCAGCCACGCAATGGCAGTGGCTGATAAGGCATCATGGAGGCAGATGCTGTGGGGTCCCAGACTTAGGGGCTAGAAGATACTTTCATCTGTCTCTTTGTTTACACACAGGGTCACATTTACACCATTTCCCAGAGAGATTAATATCTTATTCCAATGATATTCACTGTAGAATAGACAGTCATAGCCCATACTGGGAAAGAAAAAAAATTGCCTGAAGCTTGCAATTTTATACTCAGGAGCTCTCCACTTCTGCGCCCATGTGGGTAGCTTCCATAGTAAGCAATTCTCTATAGATGCTTTATTGCCTGGTCCACACAATTCGATGCTCCTACTTACAGATGCCTGGATATGCATGGGGTAGGGGTGTTTGGGAGGAGAGTAATAGTGCAGTTGAACCTGAGTTCAGTTCTAAAATCATGGTTTATAACATAATGTCAGTGATAACTAAATGATATATTTTAAAAAACAAACAAAATCACCAGTATTTAGCTGTTTTTTTTGTTTGTTTGTTTGTTTGTTTGTTTTTAAGATAGAGAAGAAAAAAATATTTAGGCTTGAAATATCCAGAAATCAAGCTTTGGGATGGGATGGGGGTGGGGCCTGGCAGGAAAGGATTAATGATTGAAAATTGCTTTTTAGTTTCCTGAACCTTTTGACCACGAACATTCAGAATGTCTCAGTTAGAGACCGTTTCTGTGAGCTTGTAAACACAATCATCAGTAAAGGGAAAGGGAAAGGGAAAGATTCTTCCCCTTTTTTGACAACAACATGATCTCAATTTTAGTGTTTTAGAAAAACAGTGAAATTTTAAAAACATAAATGAAGGTCTTTTCCCCTTGTTAGAATATTTTTCTAATTATAACAATAATCAATTGCATGTGTTTTTGAATTTTGACTGAATTTATTGGGGTGACATTGGTTAATAAAATTATGTAGGTTTCGATATACAATTCTATAATATATCATCTGTATATTGTAGTGTGTGTTCACCACCCCATGTCAAGTCTTCTTTCATCACCGTTTATCCCCTGTTCTACCTCCACCCACAATCACCTTTCTCTCTGATAATCACCATACTGTTGTCTGTTTTGTTTTGGTTTTGGTTTTGGTTTTTAAAGAAAACAAAACACTCTATCACCCAGAGAATACATACATTATGATAGTATCAGCTGCTCATGCGTGGGGCCAAATTACTCCAATGTGTGGGTCATTTGATTATTCTACCGATTGCATCAGAAGTGCTTTGTGTTTTTATGATGACCACATAATATCTAATTGCCTCGTTTCTCATATAGTGCTTGGCATCAAGAAAATACAGCAAAAATGTCATAATGGAAGAGCTAATAGCTAAATTCCTTCCAGAAGAACTCAAGGAACGAAGGAGGCTTTATGAAGAGGAAATGGAAGAACTTTCTAAGTATGTATATACATGTTTCTATTTTCAGTTTCACTCATACCAGCTCATAGAGCTGAATGTTCACATTTCTTCCTAACTCCTCATTCAGTGATATCATGTCGGTAACTTGAAATTGGCCATGATGAGAGTATTTACACCACGGAAATTGACAAATGCTATAAACTAGGGATTTTTCCCCTCAGAAAGGCAGTTGTTCAACATTTACCAGCACACTGCTGAAGAAGCATGAGCCAAACCACTGACCAAATCAGATCTTGGCACCAGCAATGGTATCACTGACAGGAGTAAGATGGAGTAGCTTAAGTGTCCAGAAGACTTTTAAAATACATAAGGAGGTGCTCTGGGGTTAAGAATTTTGGTGTCAGCTGGACTTGGGCTTGTGATCCAGTTCTGCCACAAAGTGAATGTACTTCGTGACCCTAGGTAAGTCACTTCACCTCTCTTGGCCTTAGTTTCCTCATCTGAAGTTTGGGGATAATAGTTCTTACCTCCTGGACTTGTTATGAAGATCAAATGAGCTGGTGGCTAATAAGCACTTAATAGATGGTAATAGTAAGAATGCTGCTTTCTCTGCCATGCACAGGTGTTGTGAGAGGTGAAAGGTAGGGATGGGGATGCAAGTGGGGCTCCAAGCTCTCTGCCTGGTGGAAGAACAGCTCACTTAGTGGACAGAACGGGAGGCAGTCACTAATTTCTGCCTCTCGTACTGCTGCATTTCCATCTCAACCCCAGTGGAATCCTTGCAGCATTCTGGGGGCAAGGTTCCCAATGGCAAAAGCTGTTCAGGTTTTATGCCTATCCTGTAGAGAATCATTTCTAAACTGCCACCAGCTTGTCTGAATGTCCCTCGCACTTTGAACAACATGTTTTCCTGGGAAGCTAAAAATGAAATCCTTTTTACCTCATTGACTTATATTAGATCTACTCAGGGCATCTTTATCTTTATTTCTGATTCTTAAGTTGGTCTTGAATCTCTCTGAGCCCTTCTTAAATATTATTTAATGTCTTGGTAACATTAAATATTGGAATATAGCAGAGGGATTTCTATTTAAAGGCATCCTAACCTTAATCCTTTTGAAATTTGGGCAAATGGTCTTATATCTATTGGCAGGTTCCGCTGTTCCTGTATTGGATTTACTAGACAAGTATGAGAACAGGGATCCAGGAGGAGCTGGCCCAGTTGGTGGTACCCACTCAAGCTGTGTGTCTGAATCTTTGAGGGTACTTGTTGAAAGGCAGACTCCTGGGTTCCTGATTCCATAGCTAGTTCACCAGGGTCTCTGAGGTGCTGCATCCTGGATGTCTGAATTTAAGGGCCCCCAGTGATTCTGATGCACAGGTATATTTGAGCGTCACTAGGGTAAATTACTCTCACCTCTCCATTGCTCCCTCCTCCTCCCAGCTGGACCAGCTATGCAGATCTTCTAGGGGCTCTGCAAATTTGAGGTGCTCATGGTGACTCTGCAGAGAATTTCCTGCCACTCCACTGGAGATCTGGGTCCACTTATACCGCCAGTACCCTTCCCCATACTGCCAGCAAGGCACCTGAAGAGATTGAGTGGAGAGCATGAAAGAAAGAAAAGAAAAATGAAGTATAACTGGCACCTACCATGATAATGTACTAGAGAACTTTAGCCAAATTAGATTGTGTAGAATGTCAGTTTGCATCTCTGAGACCTTAGGCTAGCCCAATCATGGGACTCACTCCACAGCAACAATTGCATTTTAGTATTTTTAATTAGCCATCAAAACTTGATGTCTCCTTGCCTTCCTGTGGGGGGACTGCATGATAACACATTTGACCAACCTTTCTGTGTTGTGCTCCATTGCATTGAGAACCATGTCATTTACTCTTCCTGACAGCTTAAATAAGAATGTGCCTATTTTCGTGTGTACTATGGCCTATCCCACCGTTCCTTGTCCCCTGCACATATTTGAGCCTTGTTACCGTCTGATGATTCGTAGATGCATTGAGACAGGCACAAGACAGTTTGGCATGTGCCTTGGAGATCCAGTCAAAGGGTAAGTGAGGAGCTTTTGAAGTCAAGGAAGGTGGGTGGAGAAGGTTTTTGTTTTACCTTAGGGCTCTCCCAGGAGATTGGGAGGTACAGCTCATGAGATTTAGCCAGGTCATGACCAGAAGCATTTGTAAGGATCAGGGTCCCTCTAGACCTTAGTTTAGCATGCAAGAGGCCACCTATTTAAAGGATCCTCATAATTATTCTTTTGTTAAATGGATGGTATATACTATAAAACTTTTTTTGAGTGTAGGCTCTGGAGTCAAAATGCCTGAGTTCATATTCCGGCTTCATCCTTGGAACAAGTTTGACTTTGGGCAAGTTATTTATAAAATGGGTACAGTAAGAATGCCTACATCATTGGGTTCGTTGGGAGGATTGGTGAGTTCATAATGCACACAAAGCACTGAGCACAGTATCTAGCACATAGTATGTGCTCAATAAATTGTAGCAGTTATACTAATACATTGAGTTTTGTTTTGTTTTTTCACACAGGTACTGCCTGTTCTATAGCTGTAGCTGTAGATCTTGGGACAGGTGAATAGGCAGAAGGCCCTCGAGGCACGGACGGGTGTTATAGAAATGGCTTGTCAAGGCCAGGGAAACATCTCATGAAGATTTCAATTTCTTGACTTTATGTCCAATAAACAGGTTTGCAGAATATGGCTGCATCCTAGAGATCAGAAATGTTCAGTTCTTTGCCGATGGCCGCTCAGTGGTTGACAGCATAGGCAAGAGGCGCTTCAGGGTCCTCCATCAGGGCCAGCGGGATGGTTACAACACAGCTGATATTGAATACATTGAAGACCAAAAGGTAAGGGTGGTTAGTGCCAATAATCCCAAAGCAAGGTTATTCCTGTGGCTTGGCAGATGGAGATGGTTGAAAAAAGATTTCTCAGCACCATTGGGGGCATTGGGATTTCTCATCAAATTCGTGCAGAAACACTGAATGCTGCCTGATTGTTATTTGGGTTGTAGAATGGCAGTGAGAGCACACCCTGTCCTGCTTAGTTGCTGAATTATATTCATGAATAATAAATGCCAAGCCAGACCAACCCTCGGGCCCATTTAGCTGGGAGTTAGATCTCTGCCAGGGGTACCAAGGGATAGATCTGGAGCAGGGTTTACATGCGTATTGTTTTTATCAATTTATTTATATTTTAAAACTTTTTCTTTTGCGATAATTGGAGATTCACACATGCATTTGTATTTTTAAATGGGCAACCTGGCTAAAAGCCCTTGCCAGTAATGTATTACCCCATAATGCAGAAAGATGGCATGTCTGGTTAATCTTTGTTTTCTGGACTAATGGGCAGAAGAGGAGGTAAATAATCCCTTGTTCACTTATATTTATGTTCACTACATAGAACACTATTAATAAGTATTTGATCAGCAAAAAATGTGTTCAACTTGGAAGATAGAGTTATAAAACGAGATACAGCCTAGCTGGTGTAGCTCAGTGGATTGAGCATCATCCCATGGACTGAGAGGTCCTGGTTCGATTCCCAGTCAGGGCACATGCCCGGGTTGCAGGCTCTGTCCCCAGTAGGGGGCATGCAGGAAGCAGCTGATCAATGTTTCTCTCTCATAGTAATGTTTCTATCTCTCTCTCTCCCTTCCTTTTTCTCTGACAAATCAATAAAACCGCATTTAACAAATAAAATGAGACACAGACACATTCATGTCTCTCTTCCTAGTGAGCAATGACAAAGCAGATGTAAAAAATGAAAAGGAGAGATGTAGAAACCAGCATAACCTAGTTTAAGAGCATGCCTCCACTCCGGGTAGTTTGCATTTCTTGTTTTCTATATGTGTTGCTGTTTCAGCCAATTTACCCAGCTCAATCTCCTTCTTCCACCCTCAGCAGTGTTTACCCATAGCCCATCATCTGGCTGAGGAGCCTTTCACATACTACACAAGAGAAAGCTGGGTGGGTGAGCTTTCCCATAGGGGGACAGGATGGATGCTCAAAGAGAATCAGGTACCAACAGTGGCTCTGAGAGTGATGGAGAAGGTACAAAATGTTTCACCTCCACTTTGATACTTTCAGGTTCAAGGAGAAGATTGTGCTGAGCTCATGGGATTACATAACTGTGTCTATGAACAAGCGTCATCATGGTTTCATTCACTCAAATCATCTCTGAAGAATAGGATACTCAATCACTTTGGTCCAATGCCAGAGAAAGATGTGGATCCCCAGGTATATAAAGTTTGTCTTTGTAATCGGTTGCCCCAGCAGATAAGAGATCGTAGGGTTTGTGATTAGATGGATGTGTGGTCATCTAGTAAATCAAATGCAGAGAGCAAGATGGATCTAATCTGGTATTGTGTTGCTGGGCAGTGGACGTTAGGAGTAAGACCAAAAGGATCCCGGGTCAGAATTGGAGGAGCTAAAGTACAGTAGTGGGAACTTGGATCCAAGACAGATTTTGAGAGATGTCAGGTGAGAGATGGAAATGCAGACACCATCAATCGGAAAACCTTGAGTATGAGTCTAGAGTCACACCATGGTAGTATGTTAGGGTGACAATATTCCCACAAAAGCCAGGCTTAAGAGAAGGGTATCCTGGGAGCTGATACCAAAGGCTGCTACTTCCAGGAAGTTGCATAACTGTCTCTCCCATTGCTTCGGGAGCTGTGAAATAGGGTCAGCTACCTTAAAGGATTTCAACTGCAAAACCACAGAAATGTTTTTTTTTAATATGTTATTTTTTATTGGTATTTTTTTAAGAGAGAAAAAGAAACATCAATGTGGGAGAGAAACATCTATCAGCTGCCTCCTGCATGCCCCCTACTAAGGATCGAGCCCGCAACCTGGGCATGTGCCCTGACCAGGAATTGAACCTGGGCCTCTAGGTCCATGAGACGACACTCAATCTACTGAGCCACACTGGCCAGGCAAACCACGGAAAGTTTTCATGTCTGGGTCCCTCCATGCTTAGTCCTGCTGGTCTAGACCCTTGTCATTTTCCTCATCAGGGGTGAGCAGGACCTGAGAAAACTAATTCAATAGTTACATTTACTGTTGGCTGAGTTATACTAGAAAGCAGTTCACTGGATTCTACTGGGTCAATCTATTTCCTAGGGGGAAAGATCCCTTCAAGAGATAAAGCTGCAGATCAGAACCTCTCAAGGAAAGTAGAGATAGTTAGATTTCATCAAGCTTTGCTTGCCTGGTATAAATCAGAAAACACTTTCTTTCTAGGACAAGACTGGAGATATCCTAGCCAAAAATCTCCCCACAATTACCTTTCCTACATTCTGAGCTGGCTCTCCTACATCATCACCTCCAGAACTTTCTGGATTTTTTACTTACACTCATTCCTGACTCTGTCACAATAGTAAAATAGAGTATGTATGTTCTGACTTCCCTGCCAAAAGACTAGTCCTGCTTACCTCTCTAGCTGTGTGACCCTGGGTAAGTCTCTTCTCTTCTCTTCACTTTTCTCCCATCTCTGAATTGAGACAGGTAGATGAAGAGATCTCTAAAGTCTCCTCTTCCTCTTGCATTTTGAGACTTTAAAACACCAGTCTGTTCCTACGCACTGAAATGTTTTGCTCTCTCCAGACCACAATGGTGGCTCCCTTCCCTCTGCAAAAGCATCATGAATGTTGAAGGGAGAAAGGCCAGTTAGTTCTTCCCAATAACACAGCTCCTGGCTCTGGGCCACTATGACTCAGGACTACAGCAGAGCTCTGAGCAAGCTCATGATCAAGCTCAGTGTTCCCCTTCACCTTCTGGAAAGCATCTCCCCCAGTCAGGCAGAAGATAGTGATCAACAATGATAATAGCATCTTCCACAAGAAAAAATACAGATTCCACAGAGTGATTCATAAGGGCTCAGTGACAGAAAGCCAGAACATGGGGTTTTGTTTCCTTTCCTTTATTATTAGAACTGTTATCATGTTGCTTTGGCAGCAGCAACACTAGCAAACAAACAAAAAGCCAACATTCATCCAGTTTGATTCAGTCAATGCTGTAGCCCCAGTGGTCCCATTAATAAGAATGTTCTGAGCTTTGGGAGAAGACTTCTTAGAAACAGCCACAGATATTAACATCTGCTTAAATATCTTCATTAATTATCCTAGGAAAGAAAGTTCAGAATAATTCAATGTAATATTCAAAACTGGTAATAGGAGGGAGAGCATTTGACAGACTGCAGCAAGGGACAAAAATGAATCCAAGTGAACTTGGAGGCACAGAGAAGCCAAGAGGGCAGTGTGGTTTGGGGCAGATTTATGTGAACCAATTTGGAGGCGAATAATCCCATGTGTAAGTGATTTGACCAGAATGTGGTTCTCTAAAGTCCTGAAACTAACCTTCAGAAAATTGGGGGCAGAAAGCTCATTTCTGGATTACTAGGAAATAAGTCACCAATGTTTAAAATGTGTGCCTGGGCAGCTGTTGACAAACAGCATTGTGGTGTAGGGTTTGTGTGGGATGAGAAAGCTTTTTAGCGAAAGGAACTTGGAGACTGAATACATTTCTTAAGTGAATGTGTTTTCTAATTGGAATTTTTGCAAAGTGGGATTGCTGGGCTTTGGGGCTGTGAATAATAGGCTTGGTTTCAGGGGAGAAACTAGCAGGGGCTCTATATAGTGATATAGCATATGTGGACTATAGTGCTTTCAGCCAGAAACAGGGAAATGAAGGGAGTTAAGAGACATGCAAAGCCTAAGGGGTCATGGGAATTGAAGGCCCGCAAGTAGTATGCATCCCTCCGAAGGACCTTAAATAGAATCTTAGAAGTGGAAGAGACTGCGTAGTAGATATTCCAGCTCATAAAATCACCCTGGCTAGGAAGTATAGTGAATCTGTTACTATATTGATTTGCTTCCTTTAATGACTACCAAAAATAACTAGCTTAAACAAGGTAGCAGGCATGTATGTCCTAGAGGACTAATATGTTACGTGAGATTGTTCAGAGATCCAGGTTTTTTCCTCACAAAGCTCTACCATCCTTTGAATATTGATCTCCTGATCACTATATCCATGTTTTAGGTAAGGGAAAGGAAGAGAAAGAGGAAGATGAAGAACATGTGCCCCTTTCCCAGGTCATGACCCAGAAGTCACACATATCACTTCCCTTTATATCTTTGTGTCATGGCCTCACCTAGCTGCAAGGGAAGCTGAGAAATGTCTCATTTTTCTGGGTGGCTATACACCCAGCTAAGATGCGGGGAAATAGATACAGGGGCAATGATCAGTCTCTGCCACAAACAGAAGCAGTTTTACCTGGGATATTTACCTTGCTACTTTGGAACCTCCACACTGATATCACCTCTATGGGAATAGGATGAACCCATTTTGTTTCTCTGTTGCAGATTAACCCAAATGGGCCAGCCTGGTGCTGGTGGACATTAGCAGTTCTTCCATTGGAAAGCCGAGCTCAGCTCCCATTCCTAGCAATGAGGTCCTTAAAGGATAGACTGAACGGTATTCGGCGTGTCCTGGCCTTTATATCTCGAAACCAAAACTAGTGAGAATGGATTGATGAAGAGGAACTTTCACTCTCTCCATCGCCTAGGGGAGTCATCTTGTAAATATATCTAATTGCAATAACATCTTAACAGTAGGAAGTGTCAAACAGAGGCATTACCCTGCTGTTGATTACAGAGAGAAACTGGGTAGAAAGACAAAAGAATGTGACCTGTTAAAAACTTTCTATGTTAAACTACTTCTTGACATGCTGCACAAGTACAAGCACAGCAGAGGTGTTCAAGAGCCCAGAAAGAAATTGCTTTTGACATAAAATTTTCTGAAAGTTTAAAGTGATTTTGCTTTAATTCTTTTTCTTTCATCGGTGAATGACTGTGTGATTGAAATGTGAAGCAAAGATACTAATAATGTTGCTGCATTGTTTCACTGACTTGAGATTCTATTCCAAATACTTCAGATTTTTATAAAGCATTGTGTAAAATAATATTTATACTCCTTTCTGTTTTAATAATTTATTTTTTGCAATGCTGTGTCCTTTTATCTACATGTATGTTTGTAACTATTTATGTGTACATTACTGAATTCAGTTGCTTTATTTATTGATGTAGTTAACCATGTAACCAGAGGGAAGTAACAGTAGTAGAAATGTGCCATTTTTGCTTTAATAATTTTTTACTACGTTTGATCCCAGTTGAACTATTTTTGTATCTATCCAATTGGATGCTTAAAGGAAGTTCAGAATCATGCTAAGATCATGTATTTTCACAGATTCCCCCCCCCTTTTTCAGTTTGAATTCAATAATATAAAATATTTAAGGGATTTGGCATAGATTGTGGAATAAGCCAAGATAAAGTAAAATAATCCATTTTCTATGTGTTATACATAGCAAAGCTGAAGGAATTATTTTTCTGGAATGAAGCAATGAATCAGAGGAATGCCCTTTATTACAGGCATTTTTCTCAGCAACCTAATTCTAAACGTTTGCAATTTTTCCCCAGTTCAGTTAGGAATGGGATTTTTAGGCAACATAATATTTAACCCTTCAGAGGCAATGGTTTTCAGTTTGGCACATCACAGCTAGGCCCAACTATCCTTAATACCCCACTTCTTCTCAGTGTTCTGAGGATCACAGCCTGGCCAGCATGTGTGGAAACACTTGATGAAGGACTATGCATTATGAAAAGTGTCAAGAAGCTGGTAGAAAAGGTAGCATGATTTTTAAAAAAACAGTTCAAACTATCATTTGGGATTTCAAATCTTTTTAAAGGAACCAGAAAGTTAATCTATCATTTTATCTAATCACCTCCTTTCCTCCTAATTACAGTGAGCCAAAAATTTCAACATAGGGAAAGAATGCTGGGTAAGGAGGTAAGAGTGAGCCCTGGTTTAGCTTGCTTAGAGTTAGTGTGATTCTTTTAGTGCCAGGCAAACCTAAAAAATAGTGTGAGTATGTGAGTGTTATAATGACAGAGTGAAAAGATGAGGGCAGGGAAGAAGTGAATCATGTCATTTGTACCTTTATGCAAGTGACCCCCACCTCCCATGATTCTGGACAGTAGCAGGGCATTATTTACTTGAGGCCTCTCCACTCTCTTAAGGTGAGAGGTTAATGCCTTGAGTAATCACTCTGACTTCTTCCATCACCACCTGTGGCCAGAAACAGAAAAGGCAGAATGAGATGATCTGTACTTTCTTAATGGACTCTATGTTGTCAGAGCATCATGTTATCAGGTTTGATGTTTGGAGCCAGGCTGGGCAGTAAAGAATGGAAGGATAGGCGTGGTTACTGCCCAAGCAAACTGGACAAGACGAGGAGCATTAAATTACAGTTTCCCCATCTGACTTGGTGTACAATCATGTGGTCATAACACAGTCCTAGTATAATAGTTTTCTATTAACGACCCCAGAAAGGGCCATAAGCATCTCCACTTGCTAGATGTATTACTTTTGTGATTTAACTTTCTTCTGAGCCCCAGTTTCCCGATCTGGCAAATAGTAATGTTAAATACCGCATATAGGATTGTTATAAACATTGAATGAGATAATATATGTAAACCACTTAGCCTAATGCCTAGCATATAGGAGATAGTCAACAAATAATATCTGTGATTAGATTATTTGTTATAAAATTTTATCAGGGGCCTATATTTGTATAAAATGCTGCCTTTACAAACAATATCTATTTTTCACTCCTTTAAACTCAGTTGGGGGAATCCACACCACTGGGTTTCTTCGGGCCATAATTTGATGCTTTACAAATAATTCCTTTTGGAGTCAAGTCTGTTTGGGAAAGTGAAAAGACTGGAAAACAAATGAGGGTCAGAGATATGTGTCAGCAAATTTTTCTTATTTAAGTAGGGCTAAAAAGTAGTATTGTTTGGAGGTCAAGAATTACTGATAAAATGGAAGCCTTGAATTCTAGCTCTGTTAGAATAACCAACTCATCACTCCCTGTTCTCCAAAATGTATTGAAAATCTTGGCCATGCCAGGGTGAGGGAATTTTATAATCTATGACTTCTGTGTTTAGTTCATGGTATTTCTTTATGCTGCCCCAACACAAATGTATTGTGAACCTACTATGTACCAGGTGCTGCGCCAGGTGATTTCATATATACAATGAGCCTGTTAAATCATTTTATTTCTCACATTCGCCCTGTGAAATCACTTATCATCCCTATATTATTGAATGAAAAAGCTGAGACTCTGCAATGTTAAATACTTTGCCTAAGTAACACAGTCATCCAGTAAGTAGCCAAGCTTGTTTTTTATTTTTAACATTTTAAATAGAGTTTGTGTTATACATAATTTTATTAAACAGGCATGCCAATAAACTCAAAAGCACCCCAGAAACTCACAGTGGGAAGTTTAAGTAAAATTAAAATTAAATTTTAATTAAAACTAAATTACCCAACACATCTCTACTTAATCTAGGTAGAAAGGGAAGTTTGATTTTTTAAAAATAAAATTCCACATCATAGAATGCTTTATGTTAATACTTAACTCCAGCAAATGTCGATCTTGGCAAGGCAGAATTGCACTTTGCTCTCAGTAGCCTAGATACACCTTTGGGTGGTTTTACAGCAAGTTTTTGTTTCGGCAGTGGTGGGAGGCAGCATGCAAGGCTCAGCCTTGGCTTTCTTTGGGATGTTCTTGAATGGGGTAAGCAGACATGATTATTTCACCTCATATGAATTGATTTTGCAGCAAAGCTTAGGAATGAAGAGTGTACAGATAAAGACATAAAGTTAAATCTAGGCCAGAAGAACAAGGCTTCCTGGTTGACAGTGCCATTTATTTGGTTAGTTTTCCTGTCTATTGGGACCCAGTCTTTTTCTAGTGGATTATTTTCTGTGTGTGTGTTTGTGTACGTGCGTGTGTATATATATATAGTACCAAGCAGACATTATGCTTTTCTGCTTTGTACTGTACTACTGCTGCTAGCTAACAATCAGCAAAATGTAGAAAACAGAAAATAATAAAACTAATTTTCTGTAGACAACTTGGAGAAAAGTGTGCTTGCCCCGTCATAGGGGGGGCAGGAAACTAACTATTTCAACAATTTTCCTTTTCTAAAGTCTGACTGCTTCTAGACCCATGGGGCTAGTCGAATCACGGTGCCTGTGGCACTTCTAGCTCTGCCTGTGAAGCTTGCCTAGGCTCAGCTAATCCCCTGTGACTGGCCATTGGAGCAGTGGAGCTCCTGAGGCTGGTTCACAGCACCTAGAGGTCTCTTACTGTGAACAGATTGCATACTGTTGATGGACTGGAATCCAATGGGGACTGTGTTCCCCCATGCTGACTCCATTTCCAAGATGGAGCTTTATTCAGGGACTCATTCCTTGAGTTTCCAACTTGACCGTGCATCCATTTTTGTTTACCAAGGCAGAATCATAGCAGAGGTGTGTAATAAAGATGCAAATGGAAAGCAGCCAAAATAAGCCCATTCTTGAGTTTGTGGATTGAGGTTCTGATTTATCATCAAAGACAGTTCTGAAAAGCAGCCGGCTGCATGGGCTACAATTTGTGGCCCTGGGTGCAGAGAGGAAGAAGGAAAAGGAGCCATGTAAAATGTGGGCATTCAATTCCTCCTAGAATGATAGCTCCCACTGTTCAACTATTTAATCATCTGGGTTATGCACACCCAGAGGTGAAATGAAGACATTTTTACTACCAAATGGGTATTTGCAAATGCACTAAGTTAACCTTGAGAGAGAAGTGCCTGTAATCTCTATTCCTGGTGTAATTTCAAAGGTTTGCTTCATGACTTTGTAGCCTTTAAAAAATTTGTCACAGCAAATGTGATAAACAGAAGTTTACAAAGCAACACTGTAGCTTATACATCATTTTTAAAGTTTTTTAAAAATGCATCTCTTGTCAAAGCAACAACAAAATAAAAGGAGAGCAAATAAACAACAAAATAAAAGGAGAGCAAAATAGGTCAATGTGGTATCATAGACTTATCTTAGATAAACTAGTCCCATCATTTTATGCAGTTTTTGGTAAAGCCAGGAATAAAATACCAAGCAAGCCATTTAAACAGTGCTAAATCTGTCTGTTTGCTATTCCAGTTGTTGGTTGAGCAGCCATTTTATTCTCATACTGTAATGAACTGAAAGGGGAAATAAGATAATGCTTTTTTCCCCACCATATCGCAATTCAGCTACCTCTATATGCTTAATTTCTCTTTAGGATTTTCTTTCCTGCAAATCTGTACAAAGAAATATTTCAGCTCATCTATGTTATAATAACAATGTGATATAGATGATCTCCATGAAAACTGTCTGTTCATTAAAAAAAAAAAAAATGTTTTCTATTGTCTCACTTTGTATCTAACCCACCTCCACCTATACTTTAGGGCAAAAATTACCCAAATACTTTCATTTTGTTGGAAGCCAAATAGAAAGGAAAGCTATTGGAACATCTCTTTTGTTCATGTTCCTATTGGTTGTAATACCTTTGCCCAGATCTTTCAAGGAAATAGACCTGCACTCAGATAGCAAGCTCTTATGCATGTGACAGTGAGGAAGGTGTGAAGTGATTAATGTGACATGTGTTCTGAAAACCTGGCCATAAATTGTTTTAAAAAATGTATCAGAAAAGCTTGTGTTTAAAGAATTATTTTGAAACACATCACCAATAATCTACCCCCAATAAATCCATTCATATATTGGGTTTGTTTAAAGCAGAGCACACTACCTACTTTGTTTTCTTTGGCATTATAAAGTGTTCATGAAAGCAAATTTACATGTTTTTATTTCAATTAAACAGATTCTCAACAATAGGCTAAAGCTAAGGCCTAAAGTGTGAGCCTTTTGACAGGAAAATGGGTAACATTGACTGGGACAGTGAACAATATTGACCAAGCGGACTCTAGCAAGCAAGCTTTAGCAACAACTCATCATAATTACAGGACCCATTTTATTCTTGTGCCACTGATGACTTCATACAAATTCTATTTTTCCACTGAAGAGAAAAATGACATGGCAGTGGGACAATTACAAAAATGAAATGATGGAAAATTTCACTAGGCCTAGCCCTTGTTCTTTGTAACAGGATCTTTTGGCTAATTGAGAAAAATCAGAACTCCTGCCCAACGAGACCCCAGAGGGAACGCTTGGCTCTGTTGGATGTTGCCCTTCTGTGCCCAGTCTGCCACACTCCAGCTCTCATGAGATAGAGTACACTCTGGTCAAAGGCACAGTCTTCCCTCCAAGGCAGTCCATCTGCTCAGAATGCTGGCAAAATTCTGTCTGGAGAACTAGACTAGATCATCTAAAAACAAG